TCCTGGATTCCATCTTCCAAGGTGTTTGGGGTTTTTTATTAAGTCAGGGAGTATTAGCCAAGGGCCCTAATTCAAAGGGAGTGGCCGGTGACATGTGAGGGGGAGGAAACATTTCCTCCATGCCTTATATCAAAATCAAAGCTTCTCGCCCTCCCCTATCCTCTTATGCTAGACCAGGGATTTTTTTGGAAGGGGGCCTTAGGGGGCCCCAGTAGCCAATTAAAACGAAGTCAATTAAATTAACTTTGATTTAATTGGTGGGACTCCTTAGAACTCGTAAGGCAGCCCTGTACCCCTCAGGCTCCAGGGCAAGGGGGGTAATGCCCAGAGGGCATAGCTTCCCTCAAGCCCCCCTCAGCAAGGGCAGGCCGTCCCTGCAGAGCGTCTGGCTCCCCCCACCCCAGGAGCCCCAGTTCCTCTTCCCGCGGCATGGCACAAGGGGCAGCCTGACGTCCACCCTCGGCTCCCTCCCGGGGCTGGGAGAGGTGAGGCATGCCACGGCCAGGCTGGCCACAGAGCCGCTGCGTGTGGGCTTGTTGGCACAATGGAGCACAGCAACGTGTGCCTGGCGGGGGCAAGAGGAGGCGGCGGCTTGCCTCCTTGCCTGCCTGGCTGGGCTTACCTGCTTCTGGCAGGCGGCACCATGAGCATCTAGTGGAAGCCCAAGATGGAGGCTTCTCCTTGTACCATTCACACTCGCTCCCTGTCCGGGCCGCTCTCTTAAGCCCAGCCTCGCCGCTGCTACTGCTTGTGCCGCCCTCATCCTCCCTACAGACAGGCAGTCGGGGTGAGGTGGCCTCGGGGGGAGGGAGACCCATGGCTCGGGGGGGCATGAAAACCACTAGGGGGCCAGGCCCCGTGGGCCCCATGGTAGCTACGGGCCTGTGCTAGACAAAGCTGCCTGAATTGGTTCCCACTGAGGAAAGTGCTAGTTTACAATCGGTTGGCGTTCCCCATTTTGTGTAGCCGGGCGAGTTCTCACAGGCGCACAACCTTTTGCCTTCCTGCCTCCTTCAAGAGGGACTAGTACCGCCCTGCCCTGGATAGCCTCAGGCAAGCTCGATCTCCTCAGATCTCAGAGGCTGAGCGGGCCTGACCCTTGGAAGTATTTGGATGGGAGACCTCCAGAGAATACCAGGGCCGGGAGGCAGAGGCGGGCTATCAAGCCACTTCTCTGAATATCCTCCGTGCCCCAGTAGGAGTCACCAGAGGTTGCCATGACCCAGAGGCACACACACACACACACACACACACACACACACAGAAATGCCAAAATACCAAAAAAGAGAGAAGAGGATCTAGCATCAGTCTCTGGCTCAAAAACTGTTTGAATTCTCTCACCCCCACCCCACGGTGTGTCTCAGTTCTGGCACTGGAGGTGTTTTGTGTTCACTGGGTTGAACACACACATGAAGCTTCCTGTATAGTTCCTATAGAGAGGAACTCTCGGTCTGGGGCAAGTGATGCTCTGTATTCTTGGTGCTTGCGGGGGGGGGGAACAGTGGGAGGGCTTCTAGTGTCCAGGCCCCACCGCTGAACCTCGTGATGGCACCTGGTGTTTCTGGCCACTGTGTGCCACAGAGTGTTGGACTGGATGGGCCACTGGCCTGATCCAAGATTGGCTTCTCTTCTGTTCTTATAGGAACTCTCAGTCTGGGGCAAGGGATGCTCTGTATTCTTGGTGCTTGCGGGGGGGGGGAACAGTGGGAGGGCTTCTAGTGTCCAGGCCCCACCGCTGAACCTCGTGATGGCACCTGGTGTTTCTGGCCACTGTGTGCCACAGAGTGTTGGACTGGATGGGCCACTGGCCTGATCCAAGATTGGCTTCTCTTCTGTTCTTATAGGAACTCTCAGTCTGGGGCAAGGGATGCTCTGTATTCTTGGTGCTTGCGGGGGGGGGGAACAGTGGGAGGGCTTCTAGTGTCCAGGCCCCACCGCTGAACCTCGTGATGGCACCTGGTGTTTCTGGCCACTGTGTGCCACAGAGTGTTGGACTGGATGGGCCACTGGCCTGATCCAAGATTGGCTTCTCTTCTGTTCTTATAGGAACTCTCAGTCTGGGGCAAGGGATGCTCTGTATTCTTGGTGCTTGCGGGGGGGGGGAACAGTGGGAGGGCTTCTAGTGTCCAGGCCCCACCGCTGAACCTCGTGATGGCACCTGGTGTTTCTGGCCACTGTGTGCCACAGAGTGTTGGACTGGATGGGCCACTGGCCTGATCCAAGATTGGCTTCTCTTCTGTTCTTATAGGAACTCTCAGTCTGGGGCAAGGGATGCTCTGTATTCTTGGTGCTTGCGGGGGGGGGGAACAGTGGGAGGGCTTCTAGTGTCCAGGCCCCACCGCTGAACCTCGTGATGGCACCTGGTGTTTCTGGCCACTGTGTGCCACAGAGTGTTGGACTGGATGGGCCACTGGCCTGATCCAAGATTGGCTTCTCTTCTGTTCTTATAGGAACTCTCAGTCTGGGGCAAGGGATGCTCTGTATTCTTGGTGCTTGCGGGGGGGGGGAACAGTGGGAGGGCTTCTAGTGTCCAGGCCCCACCGCTGAACCTCGTGATGGCACCTGGTGTTTCTGGCCACTGTGTGCCACAGAGTGTTGGACTGGATGGGCCACTGGCCTGATCCAACAGTGGCTTCTCTGATGCTTCTATGTTCCTCATACTGAATCAGACTTTCTTGGTCCATCAAAGACAGTCTTGTCTACTCAGACTGGCAGCGGCTCTCTGGGGTCTCAGGCAGAGGCCTTTCGTCACCTGATTGCTCCAAGTGGAGATGCCAAGGATTGAACCTGGGACCTTCTGCGTGCGGAGCAGAAGCTCTCCCACTGAGCCACGGCCCTCCTGGATCTTGACTAAATTGGCAGTTTCTGCCAGTTCCCCCTTCCTGCTGCAATCCCCTCTCGTGTCATTCCCCGGGGTCCCTGAATTGGTTCCCACTTCCTAGAGACCGGTGGGCTGCAGTGGGACGGGGGGTGGGGGGGAAGGAAAGTTCCATTCTGCCGCTGGAAGATTTAGTCTGGATCCATCCCATTGATTGTTTATTGCCCCTTTGCTGCAGTTGGTAATGCCAAAAATTGGACGTAGACTCTTGAAAAGGAAAGCAACCTGCAGGCAAAGAAAGAGGAAATCAACATTTCCCCCCCCCCTGTGCATTGCGGCCCTAGGTGGACATGTTTTCCTTCGGGATGGTGCTGTACGAGCTGCTGTCCGGCCAGCGGCCCGTCCTTGGGCAGCACCAGCTTCAAATCTCCAAGAAGCTTTCCAAGGGCATCCGCCCTGTCCTGGGCCAGCCGGAAGAGGTGCAGTTCCACCGGATGCAGGCTCTGATGGTGGAATGTTGGGACACTAAACCCGAGCAGGTAAGAGGCGGTCTGGGGGGCGGGGAGAAAAGCGGCAGCGGGTTTCGGAGGGCCGTTTTCTTCACTGCTTTTCACATTTGTGATAATTGTGCCCCTCCTTCCATCTTCCAAGGAGCAGAAGGTGGTTCCCCCCTCATTCAGCAAACAACCCTGTGAGGCAGGGTGCTGGATTAGAGGGACCCCTGGCCTGATCCGGCAGGGCTTTTTTTTCTTTGAGGGCCAAGAGAAACCAGTTTGTGCAGGCCCTTTGCGTGCACACAAGAGTTTTGACGACCGCAACGCATCCTCGCATGCAGCATGTGGCAAGTCTGATCTTTCTTTGCACAGCGCCCGTTGGCCATGTCCGTGGTAGGACGAATGAAAGACCCCACCTTTGCTACCTTCATGTACCTGCTGCCGTGTGGGAAACAGTCGTTGTCCTTCTTTTCGCAAGGGCAGGAGTACACGGTGGTGTTCTGGGATGGGAAGGAAGACACCAGGTTGGTGGAGGTTGCTTATTTCCCCCCAATTCCTTTTGTCATCAATCTCCCAGCGTGAAGAATGAATTCCCAGAGCTGTGCAGTGATACAAAAGAAGGAATTCATCCATACTTCTGTGGTTACGCGATGCTTTTGGACAGTAGGGGTTCCTTTAGAGAGCCAGTTTGGTGTAGTGGTTAGGAGCGCGGACGCTAGTCTGGGAGAACCCCACTCCTCCACATGCAGCTGCTGGTGTGACCTTGGGTCACTCACAAGTTCTTTCAGAGCTGTTCTCTCAAGGGCAGTCCTCAAAAGAGCTCTCTCAGCCCCACCTACTTCACGGGGTGTCTGTTGTAGGGAGGGGAAGGGGAAGGAGATTGTAAGCCGCTCTGAGACTCCTTCAGGTAGTGAAGGGCGGGGTATAAATTCTTCTTCTTCTTCTTCTTCTTCTTCTCTTTATGCTCTGTCGTCATACCCCTCTATTGTATTTTGCTCCTGTTCTCGCTTCAGAAATGGGAAGCTGAGGCCAATAGTTCATTTAATGCCTTCGTTAAAACGGCCAGAGGTCCTTTGGGCCAGTGCATCGCCTTTGATCATGTGATGTTGGCGAGACCCAGGATCGGATCCCCGCTCTGCCATGGGAGCTCACTGGGTGACCTTGGGCCCAGTCACACGCTCTCAGCCTAGCCTCCCTCACAGGGATTTCATAATATCGTGTCCACCACTGTGGGAAGGAGATCACGCCAGACATTCATCCCACAATCAAAGTGCTTCTGAGTTCAGAAGGTACCACGTAAACATAAAATTTAAAAAAAAACCCAGAAGTCAAATAAAGAAAACTAAACTGTTGGAGAAAACTATCTAGATAAAGAATACTGAACTATTGTGGGAAAGGTGTATTTTTTTATTTATGTGTTTTGCTTATTTGCTTCACATATACCCCACCCTTCTCCCTGGTGGGGACCCAAGGGGGCTTACGCCATTCTCCTCTCCTCTGTTTTAGCTTCACAACAACCCTGTGCGGTAGGGCTAGGCTGTGGGAGTGTGAGTGGCCCCAGGTCACCTAGCGAACTTCCATGGTACACGCGGGGGTTCAGACCAGGGTCTTACAGGTACTAGTCCAGCGCTCTTAACCATGACATCACACTGGCTCTCGTTTTTTATTTTACTCTACTTCATGTCTCCCCTGCCTTTCTTCCCCCAGCGGGGTCCCAAAACGGCTGACATCTTTCTGCCCTCCCTTTTATCCTCACAACGACCCTGTGGTGACGCTGAGGCTGAGGGTGTGTGACTGTCCCAAGGACCTTCAGCAAGTCTCACATCCGAGTGGGGATTTAGACCTTCCAGATCCTAGTTCAATCCCTTTTGAGTACCAAAAAACGGCAGTGATGGGGCCTGAATGTACAAAGGTTGTGGGGAGCCGTTAGTAAGAAGGGGGGATTGAGTGAGGGGGTGGGGGTTATGTGTGCGAATGTGCTTGCAGGGGGAGCGGTGCCCCAGGGGATTTATCCTCTGGTTAAACATCTGAGCTGAACAGGCTTGCTGTCAGTTCGAGCCCCACGCTGGTGTGAGCTGCCAGCCGTGTCCCCAGCTCGCCGTCCACTCAGCGGTTCGAAAGCTTCGCTGAATAGATAAAATGGGTACCACTCCTTAGAGAGGGTGGGCACACTTAACCCCCTGTGGGGAAGTGTTAGCCAACAAACGGAAGGTCCGCGCATAAGCTCAAAAGCTGAGAGAGATCTATGCAGCATCGAAGAAAAGCCTGCAATGGGCCATTCTGGCCAGACGGTGGCAGTGGTGCGCTGCGACCGAGAATAATGCTGACGACATCAAGCGACGCTGAAAATGCTGCCGGAATAGGTCTGATGTTTACAGCTGACCAAAACTCCCCGTCGACTGCGAAGTGTGTGTGATTAAAAATGATATATGTTGTCCTCCCTTACCCCCATCATTGTTAGTCCCGTGACAACACATGAGTAACTGTAAATCGCTCAGAGCCGTCAGCTCTGCAAGGATTGAGCGATCAATAAATTGAAAGATTAAAAAAAAGTCATGGTGACTTCTGGCAACCCCTAGTGGGGCTAGGACGTTCCTCTGCATCCCGGCCCTGGGATTCCTCGGAGGTCGCCCTCCCAAGTCCTTGCCAGGGTCGGCCCTGCTTAGCTTCCCAGATCTGATGAGAACAGGCTTGCCTGGGCTGTCCAGGTCAGGGTGGGAAATTGAGTGAGATTGAGGGGGAAAGCTGTCTGGATCCAACCCAAAATACGGATAAATAAAACATCAGCTAAAAGGAACATTTCTAGCTTGGCTTTTAAACCTCAGAGGGCTTGGGTGCTGGAGGAACCTCCGCTGGGAGACCAAGAGTCAAGCCCAGTCGCAACTTGAAGACCAACCAGATCTCCAGGGCTTCAGCTCCCTTCCGTCAGGAACTTTATGCTGTTGAAATCTTTTGGTCTTTAAGGTGCTACTGGACACAGCTCTTGCTTTTCTACTGCAAACCAGCATGGCTACGCTCTGAAAATGTCTACTAGGAGAGAATTCCCTAAGTAGGACACCGTCCAGGAGGAGACCTTGCTCCTTGTGGCCCATGCAGGTGGGACCTGCCGGGGGAGAGACTCCCTGCAAGTACTGCAGTTGTTTGGGTGGGAAACCTGTCTTTTGCTAGATGCACCCTGGAGGAGCTTTTCCTGTCCCTGCCTCCCGAGGATTTTACCCCTCGGCCTGAAAAGACGGAATAGGTGCGAGTCGATTTATAGCAACTTTGCTCAAGGCCAAAACCTTCCAGTAAATATCTGAGCAGTAAACGGGGAGGGTTCGTTGGCCCTGCTTCTTTGCAAACGCTGGCGCCGTGGTTGGAACGAGCTCTCCTTCCTGCTTTCAGGAATTACACGGTCGTGAATACGGAGAAAGGGCTCATAGAAGTCGCGCGGATGAGCTGCCCGGGGACCAGACTTTGCTGCCAACTGAAAGTGCAGAGCTCTCTGTGGACGGCCACTGAGGTACGCGGGTCTGAATCCAAAGGGTGGTCGTCTCACAGGACTATCAGGTCTTTCCCTGCTCAGTCGACTGCGTCACTTCGAGTCTAGGGTTAGGTCTTGCCAGCCGCCCATTTGGAGATCAAGCCGAATTAAGCAGCGCTTCGGATGGGCAGCCCTGGTGGAGTCTTTCCCCTCTGCTCTTCCCCCTTGGGGCCAATTCACACATTTACTATTATTTATGTTCTTTTTAGTCCATCTTTCTCACAGGGACTCAAGGCGGATTACACAGAGTGAGGCAATGCAATCACAAAAATGGGACGTACAGTAACCGATGCATTAGGATTTTAGAAGTCTGGAACCGCCAGAAAGAACTGAAGTATAGCATAGGTGGTCACATGACACATTAAGCGGTACAGAAATTATATAAAGAGAATCCCATTTACAGTAAGCTAAAAACAGCAGTATAGACCACAGTCCCTAAATAAATACATTTATCTAAGAAAGTTTCTAGTGGTTTGGTGTCGTGGTTAAGTGCGAACTCTAATCTGGGAGAACCCGGTTTGATTCCCCACTCCTCCACTCGCAGCTACTGGATGACCTTGGGCAAGCCATAGTTCTGATAAGAGCTGTCCTTGAAAAAGAGCAGTTTGTGTCAGAGCTCTCTCAGCCCCACCTACCTCACAGGGCGTCTGTTGTGGGGAGGGGAAGGGAAAGGAGTTTGTAAGCCGCTCTGAGACTCTTTCGGGTAGTGAAGGGCAGGGTATGAATCCAGTCTCCTCTTCTTCTAAAACCCTTTTGTGCAGGGTGACCCCAATACCTGTGCAGAAAAGCCCTCTTGAACAGTTCAGTTTTGCATACTTTGCAGAAAGCCAGGAGAGCAGGAGCTTTCCCGATCTCCTCGAGCAGGCCATTCCCCAGGGCGGGAGCCACAGTGGAGAAAGCACTCGTACGGGCAGTTGTCGGTTTTGCCCATTTGCAGGTTGGCACCTGTAGAAGCCAGTGTCCCCTCTAAGCTGAGTTAGTGTGAGTTAGCTCACAGTTTTTTTAGCCTCCAGCTCACATATTTTTGTCCTAGCTCAGGAAGGATGGCTCCAGAGCAAACTAATTTGTGCTAGTAGCCAAATCACCTGCTCACAACATTAATGCTAGTAGCTCACAAAGTAGGATTTTTGCTCACAAGACTCCACAGCTTAGAGGGAACACTGGTAGAAGCCCCTGCTGACTTGAGCGAAGTTCTCATAGAATCATAGAATCACACAGAGCTGGGAGGGGCCCCGCAGGCCATCTAGCCCAGCCCCCTGCTCAATGCAGGAGCAGCCTAGAGCATCCCTGACGAGTGTTTGTCCAGACGCGGCTTAAGGACCGCCAGTCTAATGTTTTGGATAAGAGCGAAATGCTGAGATGCCTAAAGGATTATTTCTTTCCAAAAAACAACAACAAAACTCTTCAAGGGACTTAAGACATAGACAGGCTTTGTTGTGGGGGAAAGTTTGTTCAATTTGTACGTTTCTGTTTGCGCATTTTAGCTGTGATATTGTAAAACCAACACTGCTCCAGCCGTCATCATATCAGGTTTCTTTCCTTTTCTTAAAGGACCAAAAGATCCACGTGTACAGTTTGCAAGGCATGTGTCCTCTCAAAGCTCCCCAGAAGGGCATCGACACCCCAGCGGCTGTCACCTGTCTGTTGGCAGTGCCGGTTGTAAAAAAGGTAAAGGAGGGTGGATTTTAAAGAGGGGACATTAACAAGATATGTATGTTTCAGCATTTGGGAAGGGAATCTGAAGTCTGTCTCTCCCCCCCTTTGTTTTATTTTATTTACCTCGTTTATTCCCCGCCTTTCACCGCACTGGGGACCCAGGGTGGCACACATCTTTTTATCTCCACAACAGCCCTGTGAGGCAGGCGAGGCTGAGAGTGGATGACTAAGGTCACCCAGAGAGTTTCCATGGCAGAATGGGGATTCAAACTTGGGTCTCACGGATCCTAGCCTGGCACTCTAAGCACTGCACCGCACTGGCTTTTCAAGACAAGAAAGCAGTCATACAAGTCCAAACATAACTAACGGTGATTTCCCACAAGCGCTGCTCCGCGCTCACTCTTCTCTTTGGCCTGATGGTATGTGTCAATTTCACACAAGCTGCTGCGCGACCGCATTTTGCCCCGTAGCTTCGTGCAATTGTCCCCGCGGGTGATTTCCCACAAGCGCTGCTCCGCGCTCACTCTTCTCTTTGGCCCGATGGTACGTGTCAATTTCACACAAGCTGCTGCGCGGCCGCATTTTGCCCCGCAGCTTCGTGCGATTTTCCCCACCTCTACTCAATCCTGTTTTTTGAGGATTGAGTAGACGCGGGGAAAATCACACGAAGCCGCGGGGCAAAATGCGGCCACGCAGCCGCTTGTGTGAAATTGACATGTATCATGGGACAAAAGGGAGGAGTGAGCGCAGAGCAGCGCTTGTGGGAAATCACCCTAAATGTACCAGGTTTGCTATTTTGTTAATGGCAGGGCAGTTGCGCCACCTGCTGATGGGTTTAGAGAATAACCACACCCTGTAGTTCACTGCACACGGAGCACTCACATCTTAGCTTAACATATTTTTAATTGGGTAAGGGAATGCTAGAGGTTTGAGAGGAATTTCCCCGAGACATGTGTACGGAAAGTGCAAAGGTGTGCAGATTTCCACACCTGCCTGTCCCTCACATGTGCCGTTTTCCTCCCCATTGTGAGCAGGCATTGTGCCGGCTAGTTTTTCAACAAGTGTGGATATAGCCCTACAGCAGCCTAAATAGCCCTGACTAGCTCAGTCTCCTGTCAGAGCTTGGATGCTAAGCAGCGTCAGTTACTACTTGGATGGGAGACCACCAAGGAACACTAGGGCCGCCATGCAGAGGCAGGCAATGGCAAACCACCTCTGAGCATCTCTTGCCTTGAAAACCCCATGAGGGGTCGCCATAAATGGAATTCACTGCCACAGGAGGTGGTGGCGGCTACAAGCATGGACGGCTTCAAGAGAGAATCAGATAAACATACGGAGCAGAGGTCCATCAGTGGTTCTTAGCCACAGGGTATAGATAGGAACTCTCAGTCTGGGGCAAGTGATGCTCTGTATTCTTGGTGCTTGGGGGGGGCAACAGTGGGAGGGCTCCTAGTGTCCTAGCCCCACTGCTGGACCTCCTGATGGCACCTGGTATTTTTGGCCACGGTGTGACAGAGTGTTGGACTGGATTGGCCACTGGCCTGATCCAACACTGACTTCTCTGATGTTCGTAAGTTTGGCCCCTGTGTGACACAGTCTCTCGACCATGCGCCAACTAATTCCGGAACGTGTGGAATGTTCTAGAGAAGTGCCACCACCATTCAGCTTTTATATATAAGGGAGATGCATGGGATAGAGCAGGAGAAAGAGGTACTTTTCTCCCTTTCTCACAATACAAGAACTCGTGGGCACTCCATGAAATTGCTGAGCGGTCGGGTTAGAACGGATAAAAGGAAGTACTTCTTCACCCAAAGAGTGATTAACACATGGAATTCACTGCCACAGGAAGTGGTGGCGTCTACAAGCATGGACGGCTTCAAAAGGGAATTAGATAGGCATATGGAGCAGAGGTCCATCCGTGGCTCTTAGCCACAAGGTATAGATAGGGACTCCGGGGCAAGTGATGCTCTGTATTTTTGGTGCTTAGGGGGGATCAACAGTGGGAGGGCTTCTAATGTCCTGGCCCCACTGGTGGACCTGCTGATGGCACCTGGTATTTTTGGCCCCTGTGTGACACAGAGTGTTGGACTGGATGGGCCATTAGCCTGATCCAACATTGGCTTCTCTTACGTTCTTATGTTCTTATAAATCAGCTGCAACTGGACAGCACACATTTATTATTCTTTGTATGTAAAGTGCTGTAAACTTCCAGCTGACAAGCAGAGGGGGCTTGCCATTGTCTACCTCTTCATAGCAACCCTGGACTTCCTGGGTGGTCTCCCATCCAAGGACTAACCAGGGCCAACCCTGCTTAGCTTCCAAAATATGACAAGAACAGGGCAGCCTGAGCCATTCAGGCCAGGATTAAAAAAAAAACACGGAAAGGAAGGAAGAGGAAATGGGCACCTACTAGCCCTGCCAAAATTCAGCAGTGGGCCTCTGCTTCTGAAGGTGCGTGGTGATAGTTTTAAGAATATTTCGTGGGTATTCCCACGTCTTCCCTGACAACCTGTTCTCAAAAGAGGCAGCCTTCCTTAGCGCCCACGAACAGGGTTATTTTATTTTTCTCCGTGATATGAGATTCCCTGAGCGTCTTCAGAATGGAATCTTTAAAAATAAGGTTTCTTGGAATCCGAAGGGTTTAATAAGCTAGCCTTTGCTAGGCATGTGATAGATCTTTCTAAATGCTTAACAGGCAGCGTTTGCTCAAGGCCTGTCTTTGTTTTCTTGTGTGGCTCATCTGAAATGGGTGGGAACATGGAAACGTTGCCCCAGAGGCAATTTTTTCTTTCGCAGCCGATCCAACAGCGACGTTCTGCTCTGAATTCTCTGTTCCTTGTTCGGTGATGTCACGAAAGGGCTTTTATACAGAAAGCCGGGTTTTTGTCTGTTTCAAATATAAGATCACAATCTCCTTTGGATCGCCTGGCTTATGCCGGACAGCAGCTTCGTGCAATCAAAGACAAATCTCCACTCCTGCTCC